AAAGACCCACCTCTGTTTCCGCCTTTCTCTTTCCTTTCGTTCGTCTCTTTTCCTCTTTGCGCGATTGACTTTCTCTGTCATATTTGACTCGTTCTCCATGCTTCCACACTAGTCCATCAACAGCATTCGTCTCCACGATTGAGCACTGGCTTTGATCCGAACAGGTTGAACTGGCCGAGCGTAGAGCCAACGGTCTTGTAGTCGCTATGGGCGTGTTCTCGACCGAATCATACTCGAGTGCCGTGATATCGTTATGGTTTGGAGGACCTGTTTCCGTGGCTAGTGACTCGGTAGGTGCATGGATGGTTTCGAGGTCTTCCGCCGGCCGGGTTTTTGAGAAGAAGGCCGCCTGCAGCGATGGCAAGAGAGCAGCAAACGTGCTCATTGCAATGTCGCCAAAGGTGTAGAGGTGTAATTGATCTGCTACCGTTCCATGAGGCTCCGAGTCATTGATCGAGGTATGTTGTGATGTGTGTTTGGATGTGAGGGCGAGCACTGTGGCTGATTGTGTAAAGTTGTTGCTCGTCGTTTGTGAATGATCATGCGCATCGACATTCTCATACCAATCGTACCAGAAGTATGAGCCCTTTGTCAAAGGATTGTCGAGCATTATAATCAACGATCGTACGAGAGCTTCCATCGGCTGGTCCCGACGGCAGGCAAGTTTTTGTAGCGGGATGACTAATAACTATCAGAGTCAGACAAATCCCGGCTCGCTCGCCTGCGGAAGAGGGACGGGCGGCGGCCTGATGCAACAATAACCGCAATAGTCAGAACACGAAGTGGTAGCGTAGTGGCTAGTGGAGATGAAGGCATACCTACAGATTGCAGATAAAACGCTGATGCAGAAGTGTTGACGGATTATCAGGCAGGCGAGGGAGAAGATGTAGTTTTCTTTTCTCTCACTCTGAGATCCTTGGCGTGTTGACTGGAAGTTGTCACAAGTATTGAGGAGAGTCGTATATGTCGAGGCTTTTACAGACATATCAGCAAAGCGAAAAGATGGGTGGAATTCTGCAAAACCTTCTATATAGATAAAGACCAGCGAGGTCCGTCCCTCTATGAAACGCCAAAGGGCAGTGGTAGCCGCGACGCGGTCCAGGGGCCAGGTGACTCCCACAAGCTCTGCTACAGAGGCAACATGACCAACAACTTGACCAACTAGCAGTTCATTATTCTCATCCGAGCGGAAGATAGAGGAGGAAGGTCTGTTCCATAGGGGCCAGAAGCCCGACCGACTAACAAAAACGCGCGGCACGGAGAATGAGCTGGAGAATGGGCGCCTTTACGAATCTTACAAAGATTCTAAATTAGTCACCTGCCGGATAGGTGACGCGTCCGTCGGGCACAGACACAGGCAGCTTGTCGGGCATGGTCCACGGTCGACCGTGTGACGAGGTGTGACCGGCGGATGTCAACGCTATCGTCAAGAGTGTAGCTTGCTGAAGCCGAGTAGCTTGCGCATTCATTGGCAGTCGCAAAGAATAGTAGCGGGCACCGTCACCTCGCCGCTTTCTTGCTCATGACGCGCCGGTCTCGGGCACGACAGCGTGTATGGTATATCGGATCTATTACACATTTACGAAACGATTCTCTCTGCATCTCTCGACGCATTTATATTGTCCATTCTCTTCCTCGCCATCGGCTACTCGGTACCGTGAACTCGTCGGTGTGCGTGGAAACACGACGAACAGGTCCCAGGTGCCTTGAATACATTTTGAGTAAAGCTGTTGAAACCTCTCTTTGGTCAAGGTCGATAACAATTACGAGGGAGAAAAAGATAGACTCACTCAACACACTCGCACGTAATACAATTCGCTACGCTAGCCACTTCTCTGCCGTTTCCACTGTGGACATTCTCATCATCGCTGCCACCGAAAGGACTGCCCTGATGGCTGCCCTTTCGTGGTGCCGTTCCAGGTGGCTTACCTAACCCGGTGGGCATGACCATTCGAGGTCCTGACATCCCGTTGCCATCGGAGGAGGGCGTTCCGAATGGTGATGCCGACGGAGAAGTAGACACTGCAGAGGAGATGACAGCGCCGGTTTGAGTGAGCCGACGGGCAGGAGGAGGCGGTAAGGGCTTTTTGCTCTGCGATGATAACGAGGTGGAGGACGACAGTCGACTTGAAGCGGTGAGTGCTGGACGAGCGGCCCCTACGGTCATTGCAGAATGGTAGCCGTTGCCCTCGACGTCTGTATGGGTAGAATTATCGATTCCTGTGATGGGTGGCGGTAAATTTCTGGTTGTAAAGGGTGCATTGGTGGACGATGTTCTTGGAGGCAACATTCGTGGTCGTGCAGCCGAGGGCAGAGGTGGTGGTACATTGACATTGGCAGATTCCCTTGTAAAGTGATAGTCGTCTGCATCTACTTCGTGAAAGCCGAAATCCAGGCCGTCATCATCAAGCTCCCCGGGTCCATAAGGCTCCGTGTACGCAGACGGGAAGAGACCACTTTCCCCATCTTCGTTCTCTCCAATCCACCAGTCTGGCGATACTTCCTTTGTCACCGTCACGATATCCCCGGTCCGCATAGTCAATTCATCCATGGCCTTGCCCGAATACTCGAACAAGACACGGACTTGGTGAGCGTGGACTGAGTGGTCATCAACGGGCGGTGTTCTCGATTTTACTATAGCGGGTATAGGATGATGATTCATTTTGGTGGTATTAGAGTACGAACGGTCTCGTCCATGCGTAGAGGATCTGTTAGTCTCTTCGTGCGTGTCGGAATCGTCATCCTCGGATTGGTCGTTGAGGTTGACTTCATTTTGCTGGAAGGAGTGAATAGGTGCGTCTTCTTGATCATTGAGGGAACCATACTTTTTCATAGTCGGGAACCTTCTATCGGCCGGAGCAGACGCGCCCTTGTCCTTTTTACCAAAGGATCCGAAAGCCCCCATGAATGATTTGGTACGACCACCAGCACTGACATTACTCGCTGACCGTTCCCGGTTGGCTGTGCTGTGTTTCTTCTTGTCTTCATCGTCGGAATTGTTTGAGCGAGAGCTGTCTCGACGTGCAGGTAGCAATGCCGGTTTCTTCAATGGGCTGGATATCTTGGGAACAGACACCGTGCGCAAGAGAGGGGCTCTGCCGACGGCCGATGTCGATTTGGAACGAGGTCTCGTGGAAGATGCAGAAGAACTACCGCTGGTGACGTGTGTATGGTATTAGTAAAGAATACAATCAGTGCTGAAGGTGAGGAATTCACGTACATGCTACCCCACTCAGTCTTCAAATCCTCCAAGATCTCATGATACTGGTTCACAAAGTCCAGCTCGGCTTCCAAAAAGTCGGAAAGGTCATTGACCTTTGCTGCTTCACTCTCTTGGACCGTCGTCATTGATGCCAGAGTATCCTCCTGAATCTCGTTGCTGACAGTGACCATGTTAGTCGTGGCAGAATGGAGAATGTTGGCAAGATACTCACAATCTCGCTTGTGCTGTATCCACCTCTTCTTCTAATGCCCGAGAGTCCTTCTTGCTCGAGTTCATCTTTCTCGTTGCGGCGTCCAGCGCAAGTCTGCAAAGTAGAGCAGGGTAAGCGGGTCTGTCAGTATAGATGTCGTTGCAAGGATTGGAACGGTGCATACCTGCGAGAGTCCAGTTTCTTGCGCAAAGCCTGATATTCTTGCACCACGGCAAGGGCACTTTCCATCCCTGAAACATAGCCTTCCCCAACTCGGCTCGCATACTCATCCTGAGCCTGCGACAATGCGTCAGCACCTGTATACAGATCTAGAAGGTAGTTCTACGTACCACCGCTATCTTGCACCTCGCTCTCCCAAATTTCTCTAGCCTCTCTGCGTATTGCCGATCTCCAACGTGATCTCGAAGCATTTCTTCTCCCTGTGAAATCATGACCAGACCAAGGGCTTCGCCAGCGAGGAGCTGGTCCTTGGGGTTTGCGCCGTCTTCAGGGTATGGATCCGCAGATGGCTTCTTTTTGGAAATGTTGGAATGGTAGGGCAGGGAGGTTGCATGCAGACTAACCGGAAGAAGTCCTCTCACGGTGAGCGACGACGAGGATCGTAGTACGTAGCGAACATGACATACCGCTCGACGCCCTTCTTTCGAAGCTCTATTTCCCGCTCATACTCGACAAACTCGCTTGATAGCTCGGTCTTTCCTTCTTTGAAGAACCGCTCGCCTGTCCACTACAGAGAGGAAGAAAAGGTCCTTTGGTCAATGCGTGGTTTCGTCTTGTGTGTCGAGAAGACTTGCCTGGCTGAGCTTGTCTATCTTTTGGTACAGATTCGAGTGAAGTGTTAGCGGTATGCCAATGAGGAAAAGGCAGACGAGCAGCGGAAAAGAGGGCAACTCACCTGTTTGGTATACCGCTTCATTCTAGATCGCTCAACTCAGTTCATCTAGTGAGTGTGATGGAGCAGCTGATATTGGAAATGAATTTCAAACGAGGGTATAGAGAAAGGCGCTATGAGCTTGCTGGACGCTCTCCAGGGTTGTAGCATCGTTGGCGCTGCGTCTTACACTACTTATCGAGGTCAAGGAGCTGGTCAAGGTGTCCAAGGTCTGAGCTGATCCGGTGGTTACGCTCGTACGACGCGTTTGCTTCCGACAGTCCTGAGACACGAGTGGACGATATACAGTATTATTGTTCCCTTCTCCCGGCTCCTTCTGTCAGCACTCCCCCGACTCGTCTTGTCTCTTGGCCACGTGAACATCGAGATGGATATACACAGCTACTCTAGAACCGTACCATGGCCTACTACAGGCAGCTCTGCGGCTCCACAGCGAAAAGGGCCGCAGCGCGGACCTATCTTCGCGCTCAAACAACCGCGTGCTCACCATGGCCTTAACTGCAGCGGCTGTTATTGACAGGGTGTCGGTATTCGAACTTAGCAAGCAACAGAGGAGATTAAAGGAGAAAGGTAAGACAGCTGGTAAGACGAAACGAAGGAAGGAGAAAGCGGAAGACGCAGTAAAACGTAGTAAAACGCGTTATGTTTTTGAAAGTGAATTAACCTGGATCTCCGCCGGTATGGCCAAGTGGTAAGGCACTGCACTTGTACGTCTACGTTCATATCACGAACAGGAATACATGCAGCGATCTCTCGTTCGATCCGGGATGCTGGCTCATTCTTTTTGGTCCTTTTGAGCTCGGTAGCCAGGTCGGCTTGAGCTTTGTCTGGTGGGCAGCAAAGAGAGCTGCTTGGGTGCGTTGGTATGATGTCCTTGACCATTGACCGTTCACACTCGCGGACCGAATCCCGATTTCCAGAAACGATCGTTCGTTCGACCCGGACTTGAGGCATCTTTTTGCTTTTATATATGGGGTAGAGAAGCATCTTCCAAAGTTTCCAATGCATCCCCTTGCTGGCGGAGCTATGTTCCTTTTTCTGACATTCTAACGTGCCAAGTTGCCTTCGGAAGGCTCAGTTCTCCCACAATAGGAGCTTTTCATGTCATGGGCCATGGGACAGCGCCCAGGCCCCCTGTTTGACGCTGGGTAGCTTGCTGGGTGTTGGGTGAGCTGCTGGGTGGTGGATGAACACAACTACGCATATTTGAACCAGCTTTTCTCCGCTTGTTTACTTTGTCAGTGCGTTTTGTTTACCTATCAAATATATGAGACATCGAGGATGCTGATCTTTTCAAGGGTGATATGGTAAGAACCTAGTGTCCCTGTCAATACTTTTGACGGAACGCCTTCTTCGCCGTGTGATCAATACGACTATAATTCTTGGTGTAGTCCTTTCGCGGCAGGCGTCCACAACTACTTGATGTCACCGAACGATGGACCGTGCAGCAGGGATGACGACACCGACAAGAGGCCAGCCTGAAAGTCCGACAAGTCGCTCTAGGATTCGGGTCTCGAGGTCCAACATTCGGTCTCCGTTAAATACACGAGGAAACTTGCCGATGCGGCTGGATGGTGCAGAAAGTCCTTCCAGAAGCAGGCAAGCTTCACCTCTCACGTTGCCATATGTGGACTTGGAGGCTGGCAAGCCAGGCGACAGGGATATCTCTGAAGAAGCGGTCGAGATGCGCACTTGGAGCAAAGGACATGCAGATAGAGTAGATGACAAGGTGGACGAGTTTGGAAAAACAGACGTCACCCCGCGGAGGAGAACAATACGGAAATGTCAGTTTCGCTCAAGACTGTCGCAAAGGGGGAAAGGTCGCTGAATACAACCTCTAGCCATTCCGAAAGGCAATCTTGATGGACAAGCAGGCCCTCCAAGCTTTGCTCGATCAGAGTTTGAAACTGTAAGTTCAGTTTCCTGTCTGTCGTTCCGAGTGTGACAACAGATTTGTCGCAGATTGTGCGACACTTGCGGAATCGGAGCCCATATAAAGCAGCGACGTCAAAGCCGAAATTTCCAAACAATTTGGATTACGCCTGGCAATTCGCTGGTTGGGGCCAGTAAGTCTTTTACTGGGGCAACATGGGGATGGCAACTAACTCTCCTGCATCAGGCTGTCCTACTTAGACTTGACGAAGCAGGACTTGGAAGACGCCGAGATGCGCTTAGCAGTGGCGCTGGACCGACCGAAGCTCGACCAGTATCGAGCGACTTCAATAGCAGGTAATGCGGTATGGGGATCGGTGTTCTATTCGTGAGTTCCCAATTCATGCCGTAGGATGGCATGCTCTGACACGCGGATTGCCGCTGTAGCCTACCAGCGATATGCGCAGTCGCCGACATCTACTCCCCAATTTGCATGGCTGTAGCTTGCTCGATATTGTTCCTGTTTCGACCTATCCTGCTGGAGCTAGGAAGCGCCATCCGTGTGGACGGGGCTAGTGTAAGAACAAGAACCCCATCCGAGATTGTAAGAAAGTGGAAGCCCTGCTTACAGACCTCATCGCCGCAGTACGTGTATCTGCTCAATTTTACCGCCAAGGGATGGGCTTTATGCGCAGCTGCTGTCACCTTGATCGATGCGTATGTCCATGCTCCACCTATAGCTGGGACAAGTTCTGTGAGGAAACGATCCCTGATTCAAAGCGACTTTATGTCATAGGGTCGCCACTGGTGTGGTATCTGCTGCGACAGCTGCATCGGTACGTAATGGCACACCCCTTGCTTTGGGAGAGATGCCCGCTTACATATACCCTCTCTCAGTATATCAAAGGAGAAGTCACTTTGCCCTTCCCGGATTTGGTACTCACTATCATCATCCTTGGCGCTTTCACCGGTCTCCTACTTTTCGGGATTCGAGAAAGTAGCAGTGTGACATTAGGAATTTGTGCGCTGCATGTACGTTCGGCTTTTTATACCTAGACCGGATGTTTCTAACACGTAGGGTATTTTCCTCAGTGCGTGACAATCCTGATACTAGTGATCACGGCTTGTGTGCACTGGGCCGCATCGGGCAGCGACGTACTGAAACAAAATTGGCAGTCCAGCCCCTCCGGAGGCAGCAATATTGCCAGGTCCGTATTCAATGGGGTCTGCATCGGCCTCCTCGGAGTGACGGGATTCGAATCGGCGCCAACGTGAAGCAAATATTCTTCAGACCTACCATACAGATGAGAGTTATTGATACATTTCGCTGTTGAACCCGCAGATACATTTCGATAATCAGACCCGAAGCATATCCGGCAGTATTGAGGAATCTTATTATTGGAGCACTCACAATCAACATCTCCGTCCTGATCGTCACATATGCCGTGTTGCCATCTGATACCATACGTAATGGCGCCAACATTCTCAGTTCCGTCGGACAAGTGGCAGGCGGGACCTGGTTGCGCAAAGTTGTCGTCGTGGACTCTGCTATTGTGGTAGGTGCATCCGCTCTTGCACCCTCTTACCCACACTGACCAAGATCCACCGAAGCTGTGTGGAGGTGTACTGGTCAGTCTTCAGGTGAGGAGTAAGGTCTTTCTGGGATTCCCATTTACCGGCTTCCCGAACAGACTGGTGCAGTAACAACGTGCAGCCTGGTGGAACGTTTGACAGCGTAAGTGACATGCTTCCCGTTGTCCAGTGTGCTCTGCTAATTCAGGACCCTTTCTGCAAAGGGATCGGGCACTACCTGCCTTGTTCAGGAAGCAATTGCCGAAAACAGGGAGTCTATGGGTCGCATGCGTACTCTACCTTGTCCTGTGCCTGATCATATATTCAGCGTCAAGCTTTGGCCTGACGCAAGCCTCGAACTTGTTCAGCATGGCATTCGTAAGCGCGCTTTCATTCGGAAAATTCGTTCCACTAGCTAAGTTTGATGTGGCGGCTAGATGGCCGTCCTATTCTGCGTAAGTTCGATACAACCGTAATATAGTAATAAAAGGCCACAGTGTCGCTGAACTCCCCTCTTTCAGTTTGCAATATGTGGATTGGTGATCAAGATCACCCGGAATAGGCTGAAACGGTCATATCATGCGCCTCTGGCCGTCGTTCTATCAGCCAATGTTGTCATCCTCACTGCGATCGCCGGCAATATAGCACAAGGGTAAGTTTTGCAGGGGAGGTTCGCAGCGATAACAAGGCCTACGCTGATACCCTATTCGCTTTATAGTCCCATGATATTGGCGTTGTTTGCTGTTGCTCTGATCTGCGTCATCCTTGTCTTGTTAATGCACCCACAACTAACGTCCTTCTACGGATGGTTCGTTTACCTGTGCGAAAGGAGTGCATATCTGTCGTCGCAAAAGCGGTTTCATTTATGGAAGTTGGGAGCCATACACAAAATCAAAGTTATGAAGGGTCAAGGGGTTGTTGTGTTCATGAAACAAGACACGGTATGCGTTTCGCTCTTTTGCTAACTTCTGCCACTGGTTGACAACGCGTATAATCCTCCCAGATCTCCGCGATGGTAGAAGCTCTCATCTATGTCCGGAACAACGAAAATACCAGCCGTGTGGCATTCGTTCATGCATATGACTTGGTTGACGACATCCCGTAAGCTGGCTTTTGTGGTTTGAGATAAACCGACCAATGTTGACGACAACTTCTCATTCACGAAAGGTCGGAATTGGTGGCAAACGCTAAACTAGTAGACGAGGCGTTTCCGGATATTACCGTTGATCTGCAGCTCGTACCGCTTCATGGTGGATTCACTCCTAGTCTGGTGGAAGCCGTTTCCACCAAGCTCAACGTTCCGAAAAACTTGATGTTCATCGGAACTATACGTGCGGGCCACGAATTGCCCTACGACCTTGGCGACTATGGAGTTAGGATCTTCAGGTCATAAAGGAAGAGGTTTGTTGTATTCGATATATTGGGTTTGCGATTTCCTATCGGATGATAATGTAGTTTGGCTGACAAAGCTAAGCGTCAGTCGTCCCTGCTGAAGATAGGGACTCAACCAGATATTAACTGACGCTCGCCTCCAGCATTAGTCTCCGACGAAAAACAGGACGAGACTTTCTCAGTAAGATGTTTGGAGTAACCTTTACCAGGTAGCGAGTCTTCGAGAAAACGGATAGGGGCGATTGTGACAAGCAATCCTATTCCGTTACAATCTTGAAACGCCGAACGCACGCACTTGAGCACTTGGACAATCTAGCTGACAGTCTCCAGCCATGAACAGCTATAAACGAGCCCCTCAGCATCACTCCACGGTAACTCTGTCGTACTACGTGACATCCACCACACCGACTGCCACCCTTCCAACACTACCAATCAATTCCGGTGCCCGGAGTAGCTAAAGATTTCCAACTGCAACTACGGATACTCTATCACCAGTCTGTACCACGATCCAACAACGATAGGAGAAGATGGCCTCCGCCAGCCTCTTTCGTGAGCTCCACCACGGTATGTCGGATGCTTTATCAACACCATCTACCTTCCACTTCCAAGTACCGTAGGATACCTCTTCGTAGCTTCTTATTCTTTACCTTTTGCGCGTATCGTCATCTTCAGCTTACTTCACTGTTACCGCTCAGCAAAGTACGATTGATCAATGGCGTATGTTGCCCTCCCAGAGTGGTATCGCTTTCTGCCCATTGACATATCGCTCACGTCGTGTCCACTTTTCAGGCATGCACGGAGGTCACACAACGTTCATGGCACGAGGATCAAAGGCAAATAAAGATTCTGTTCGACTAGCTCCTTTCGTTGGCGTGATTGATGGCACAACAGGCAGACCAGCGAATAGGCGTCCTTCCATAGCAACTGGCAAATGTCAAGA